CTGTGCCTCTGGAATCCCTTTCCCCATTCTTTCATGTAAAAGAGGCCAAGAACCTCTTCAGAACTGGGAGCTGGGGACACTCCCCCAGATACATTATCATATTACAGGCGGAGGGTGGCCAGGTTCTTGGGGTTTTGAACAAAAAATTGGATAAAATGCACAAACAAAGCAAGGGAAGAATCAAACAACAAAAGCAGAGATTTATTGAAAATGAAAATACACTCCACAAGGTGGGAGCAGGCCTGAGCAAGCAGCTCAAGGGTCCTAATCACATAATTTTCTGGGGTTTCAATACCCTCTAGAGGTTTCTCATTGGCTACTTGGTGTACGCCCTATGTAAATGAAAAGGATATATATATCCTGGACAGCAGAATGTTTGTTTGATTTCCTTCTGGGAAGTCCTTAGGTTTCCTCCCTCCAGGTCCTATTCTCCTGCCTCCATCATTTATGGAAATACTTCTGGAATAGTGGTTAAAACTTCTTTAAAGTCTCCGGAAATTGTCCTAAGTGCATATGACTAATGATAAAATAAACATTTATTCAATAAAATCTACCAAATCTTTATCAAAAGTGAAAGAGTTTGCCATTTGAACCATTAGCTACTTCATCCCCATCCCAACCCTGCCAGCTCAGCATGACGGAAGACGTATCCTGCACAGGAGAAGCCACAACACAGGGTTCCCTTTCTCTCTAGCTCCCAATATAAGACTACAGTCTCTCCCCAGGAAGGACACTGCAGGAGCATTTCTCAAGCAGATAAGAGAGACAGGATCCTCTTTTTCCACACAATCCTCATTTGTAAAGAGGAAGCTCCAACCCAGGCAAAGTATACTGAGAATCCTGGGAACCTCATCATCCTCACTCACAGCTTGCTGGTAAGGCAGAGGTTCCATGGTAGGAGACACAACCCAAGAAGATGAGAGGCTGCTGCTCCCACCAATGCCTTATTAGTAAACGGTGAGTCATGCCTGGAGGAAGGGCAGGTAACAAGAACAGAGAGCTTCAAAAAGCTCCCTAAGGAAACTTACTTTATATAGAACAGAGTATAGAAACTTTCAAACCTAAGGACACTTTTGAAAACAATGGAGATTTTGTAGTAGTCAACTAAGAATGGGTATGAGAGCAATAAGTAAAATCATAGATCAACCAGAATTTTACTAGTGAGAATCAGAGAAAGACAGAGCATTCAGCAGGCAGGAACAAATCTCAAAGACTAGTTTCCTTCACTACCCCTGTGAACAGGACTGGATTTAATTGCATGCAACTGGAAAGCAATCTATGCCCCACAGTACTGTCAGAAACAGTAGTGTAATCAGTTGTCAATTAGTGCTAGCTTACAACTGAGCCTTATACCAAGAGAAGCAAAGAGTTGACAAGAAGAACCAAAGAAATATAAAAAGAGAACCCTTCTAAAACCACCGTCATCATAGAAAGATTGTGGGTGTGTCCAAGGCTGCAGTATATGAAGCACCATCAGTGGCCACACACTGCAGGTTAAGATAGACCTCAAAAAAAACAGTCCAGATAAGTCACCAAGCAAATAAGCCTGAAAGAGTAGAGTAGTCGCAATGCTACAATGTTATCTAAAATGTCTGCTCTCTTTTTAACAAAAGAGTTACAATACTGTATATGCAAAAAGGAAGAAAGTGTCACACACACACACAGAGGCAATAGAAACTGTCTTTGAAGGGGACCAGATGGTGGACTTGAAGATGAAGATTTTAAAGCATCGGCTACAAATATGTTTCAAAAACTCAAGGAAATTATACTTTAAAAAGGTACAATAACAATGTGTCATCAAATAGAGAATATCAACACAAAGACAGAAATGATGTTTTCAAAGAACTTAATTAAAATTGAGGATTTAAAATGTACATTACCTGAAATGAAATAGTCACTAGAGGGACGCAATAGTAGATTTCCGCTGACAGAAGAAAGAAATTAGAAAATCTGATGACAGATCATCAGAGATTACGTAATCTAAAAAACAGAGAGAAATGGGAATGAATAAAAATGAACAGAAACTCACAGAAAGGCAGAGACACCATTAAGTGCACCAACATACATGAAATAGGAGTAACAGAAGAACAGAAGGCAAAGGATGAAGCATAAAAATTACTCAAAGAATAATGGCTGAAAAATTTCCAATGTGATGAAAAACATTTATTTACATACACTTCTACAAAACTCAACTCTAATTAGGTTAAGTGCCAGGAGATCCACACTCAAAAACATCATAGCAAAAATGCTGAATGTCAAAGACAAAGGGAAAATCTTGAAAGCAGCGAGTGAGAAATAATTCATCACATACAAAAGAACCTCATTCAAATTAACAATTGACTTTCCACCAGAAACAATGAACACAGAAAGTAGGAGAATGACATAGTCAAAATGCTGAAAGATCAAAAGTAACTGTCAACCAAAGACCTTATTTCTAACAAGACTATTTCTAAAATGATGGCAAAATAAAGACATCCTCAAATATATATAAATGGAGAGAAGTTGTTACTAACAAACCCATCTTACCTGACATACTAAAGGAAGCTCTTTAGGCTAAAAGCAAGTCACTTCAGGAAGTAACCTGAATCCACACTAAAAACAAAGAGGGACAATATATGTGATTTTGTAATTATAAAGAACAGTAAAAATATTTCTTCCCTTTGCTTCTTTTAACTAATTTAAAGGGCAAATGAGACTGCTTTCCTTCCTAACAGTATAGATACATTATCTTGATTCCAAGCTAACGCCTATCCCTCCACTTTTATACTAATTCATTTCTCTTTCCTAAGCAAGGACATAAATCCTGCAATTCTTCCCTCTATATATCCTTCATCATCAGCCTTCCCCTGTCTACCAGGTTATTTACTTTAGCACCTAAAGTATACAGTTTTTTATGCTGGTTTATTAGCAAGTATTATGAGTGTCTACACATATTAGAGTGTATGTTTTTAAGAGTTTTTCTTATGTAAACAAGAAAAACATTTGGGGGAGAAAAAATTATAAGCCCATTAGAAGTAATTCCAATGAAATTTAAAAATTATCATCACTTGGGACATGTGCTTCATCATTCATTTGTACAATAAATATTTATTTGCACATAGGTAGAAAATTTAGTTCTGTAAAATAAATCAGTATTAAATATACACAAATATCAAATTTTACCAACTAGTTAATCACACAAAAGAAGAAAAGAGACGTGCATAGCTAAAAAACAGAAAACTTCAGAAATAAAAAAAAATGAAAGGTATTTTTAAAATAAATCATACAAGAAAACCAATGCAAGCCTATAATTTGTTGACTTGCCTTAGCCAGGTAACTCCATCATGCTCCCTGGAACCTCCCAGCACTTGTGGTATCATACTCCAACCACTTACACAGCTATCACTGTGATGAGATCCTGAACAAGTCTTTTTATTAGTCCATTCTTCATTTAAAAAAATCTGTGAAATACTTACTATGTTCTAGTCATACAAGAATGAACAGCATAAGCAAAGTCTATGTCTTCATGCATCATGTTCCAGTGGAAGTAAATAAAACCAACCAACCAATAAATAAATAAATAAGAAAGAATAACAGATCCTAAGTCCCATGTGGAGACTGTGCATGTCACAGTGTCTACTTCAGATTGGAATGTCAGGATAGGTATCTTTGAGATGTCATTTAAGCTAAATCCCAAAATTCATCAAGTAGGATTTCCATGTTACAGATGAGACACTAAGATTTAAAGAAGTAACTTGACAATGTCACAGAGCTAGTAAGTAACAGAACCAGGGTTTTTGATTATTACTGATAATGCATTAAATCTGGAGGCAGCCATATTTAACTGAAAAATTAATTTCTCCCCAAGGTGCGGAGGAGCTTAATCTTTAGGTCTTCCTAGTACATAAGAAACCAATATTTCCATTCTATCCTTCTGCTTGTTATTTATTGAGTATACATTTCCTTTAATAAATGATAAACATTACTCTAAAACACACACACGTATATTGTACATAGTAACTCCTATAATAAGGATTGTAAAACTTCATTATGTACGTGAATTAGCTGATGAGCCACTTAGAAGTACAACTGGCAAGCCTGCAAATCACAGACTCAGATGTAGTATGGTTGAGGAAGAAAGGATATAGCACTGACTCTGGATTTTTTTTTGAAACAAACATTCCAGATGCTTTTGTTGGAATGATCAACAGACCATATCTTGAGGAGCCTCCTGCTATGGTCTATTACAGCAATTCTCAAACTCCAGTGTGAAAGAATCACCCGGAGGGCTTGTTAAAACAGATTTCTTGGTCAAACCACAGAATTTTTGATTGAGTAGGGCTGGGGTGGTACCTAAGAATTTGCATTCTAACAACTTCTCAGAAGATGCAGCTGGCTCAGCGACCATATTCTGAGAATCTCTAGTCTATTCAACAGAAAAGTCTCACCTAATCATGGCAATAACACTGCTTTATGAAATTTCTTACAATTTCCTCAAAAATGTCCTATAGCAAATAAAGAAAAAATGCGTAATATGCCTTCTAATTTGAAATAGAAATCTAATAATAGTATGGTCGTCATTACAGCCTGTGGATTTACTGATATTGATGGTTGGTTGGAGAAAAATGGGGATAGGTGTCATGTGGGAAAAAAAAAAGTGGTTAAATGTGCAGGAAGTTCTGGTTACTAGTCTAAGTGCCTGTTAGGTGCATAATTGATTGGTATCCCTGAAACTCTGCTTCAGCTAGTCTGTTTTCTGCTTCAAGAACCATGCCAAAACAAAACAAGACAAAACAAAGCCTACAGGCTTATTTTACCACATACCTAAATACAGCTAAGCAATTAATCTACTATTGATTTTATTGATCTGATGCAGGGAGATAACTTCACTCTACAACGTTTGTTGATACAAGCTACCTCTAATTTGTTGAATCATGAAACCCAATATGTATTGTAAATCAAAAATAAAATTCCAAGGCCCCCAACCATCTGAATGGACCTCTTCTTTCCATCAGAGGCATATGGGACAGTCAAAAGAGGATTTAAAATGCAGGAGAGGGAGGGTAGGGAGCGGTTTCCCAGGACTGGGTTATGCTCCCAAACGTTCGCAGGTTCCAGGACTGACCGCTCACCCCAGATCTCTCTCACCTTTGCCGGCGGCAGCCAACGGGGTCCCCAGTCAGCTGAGCTACCCTGGCTTAGCCCCTGGCAGTGAGCTGGGGGTCAGGGTGGGAGCAGACCTCGCGCCACCTGCTGCAACCGTGGGAAAGGCAGGAGGAGGGAGGCAAGTAGGTCCCAGTGCCAGAATCCGCACCTGCCCCGCTGCACGAAGTCGCTGCGCCTGAGCGTGGTTTTCCCCACCTGCCCCTGCTTGCCTGCTGCTACCCTCTTTTCAAACAGGAGAAGAAGAGAAAGGCGCCAATTTATGTCCCTCTTGCTCTTCCGGGCTTCAGGAAGGAATCTTCTACACACATGCACACCCAAACCCGCCACAACCTCCAGAGCCGGGCAGAGTCCGTGACCCTCAGACGACATGGGCGCGAAAGCGCGCGCCCACCGTGAGCGCCCTGAGCGAGCGCCAGCGAAGCAGGTGGATTCCACTGCCTCCAGCCGTCCGGCCTTCGCACCCGGATCAACTCCTGCTCCTGCTCCTGCTCCTGCTCCCGCTCCCGCCTCCTGGTGCTGCAGGACCTCACCCAGCACCAAGAGGAAGGGGCGAAACCGGCGGAAAATGCCTAGTTCTCTACCTCGGATCTGGGTCAGTGGCCGGCGCGTGGTCCAGCGCAGAGGACGGAGGACGCACATGCTGGGTGGTCCTCAGCCGGGAGGATCGCGAACTCCCCACAGGTCCAGGCGCCAGCGCCCGGGGCCATGAAGAGCAGGCGTCTCTGAAGGTGTCCATCCCATCCACCCAAACTGGCTCAACGCTCTGGGAAGCGCGCTGGCAGGATTTCAAGGCCAGAGGTTTAAACTGGCGGGTTCCATGTAAACATTTTAATCCACGCACTGCCAGCTGCCGCCACTTCCCCTGCTACTGCACACGAAAAGCCCTCTTCCAATTCTCTCCATTTCCCCTCTTCTATAATACCTCCATTTAGTTTTATGTTTGTTTTGCTTTTCCATGCTGAGAGAAGGATAATAATAGTTCTGAGGTGCAAGGCTTAACAGACAAGCTACATAGACTGCGATCCGACTTTACAGGCTTGAATCCGCCATCGGTTGGTTATGAGATGCTTAGAAAATTATTTCCATTCCCTGTGCCACATTTTCCTCATCTGTACAACACAGATAATAACAGTACTGACCTCATAAGGTTATTTGGAAGATGTGGGTATATAACACGGACGAATTGCCTGATGCCTAGTAAGCACTCAGAGCTCTTCTCCTCACAGAACTGTCATATATTACAACTGAAAGAGTTTTAGAAATACGGTTTTCTATTGTACTGCGAATTGGTCGATTACGGATGGGTGGGAAACTTCTGTTAGTGTTCGGACTTTCAGGCTGGGCAAGGTGCATTGCATTTCTACCTTCACCTTTTACAAAATGTGTGACCTTGATCAAGTCAGTTCATCTTTCTGCACCTCAATTACTTCATCTGTCAAATGAGGTAATAACTCTTGTTAATGAGGACTAAATTTGCAATTAATTTAGAATATTTACTATTAAATATATAAGCCTTTATAAAATGTAAATTTACCTACATTTACATTACTACTAAAAAGAGGTAACTTTTGTTATTCAAATTCTATGCAAATCATCAGAATCTCAGCCTTCTTACAAACACTGCTAGGTACAGTTGCAATATACTCTAACCATTTTTGTATTATTTTCTTTCAACAAACAATTACAAGTTAAACACATAGTTACACTTTCAATGACTGGAAGTAATATTTTTGGGAAAAATACTGAATACAGAATTATACTAGTTGAAGTCTAAGATGTTAGTGACAATGTTATTTTTTCAAATATTACTTATAAAGTATACATGTTATACTTTTGAGAAATCAATTCAATATTCTGTGAATGTCTCTGTAAGCCTCATGTTCATATTCTTTTTTAATTTTTAATTTTTGTGAGTACATATTAGGAGTATATATTTACAAGGTTTATGGGATATTGTGATACAACATGCAATGTGTAATACATCAGTGTAAATGGTGCAGTCATCCCCTCAAGCATTTATCTTTGGTGTTACAAACAGTCCAATTATACTCTTAGTTTTTTTTTTTAAATGTACGATTAAATTATTATTGATTGTTCCAACCCTACTGGGCTATCAAATACAAGTTCTTATTCATTCTAACTACTTTTTGTGCCCATTAACCATGCCCACTGCCCCCCAATTCCCCAAATGCCAGCCCCAGCCTCTGGTTACCTTCCAAACCTATCTCCATGAGTTTGAGTGTTTTAATTTTAAACTCCCACAAATAATGTTTTCTTTTACTTGTATATGTTGAGGTCTTAGATTTAAGTCTTTACTCCATTTTGATTTGATTTTTGTATATGACAAGAGATAGGGGTCTATTTTCATTCTTCTGCATATGGATATGCAGTTTTCCCAGCACTGCTGATTGAAGAAACTATCTTTTCCCCAATGTATGCTCTTCACACATTGGTCAGAAATGAGTTCATTGTAGGTATACAGATTTGTTTCCGGGTTCTCTGTTCTGTTTCATTGGTCTATGTGTCTGTTTTTATGCCAGTGCCATGCTGTTTTGGTTACTAAATCTCTCTGGTATAATTCAAAATCAGGTAATGAATAATAATTTTTCTAGTTTTGTTCTTTTTGCTCAGGATAGCTTTAGCTATTCTGTGTCTTTTGCAGTTCCATGTAAATTTGGGGATTTTTTTTTTTCTATTTCTGACAAGAATGCCACTTTCTGTTTTGCTTTGTTTGAGACAAGAGTTTTGTTCTGTCACCAGGTTGGAGGGCAGTCATGTCATTGTAGCTCACAGCAACATTTGCCTCCCAGGTTCAGGCAATTGTCATGCCTCAACCTCTTGAGTTCTTGGGACTGCAGGTGCATGTCACCACACCCAGCTCATTTTGTATTTTTAGTAGAGATGGGTTTCTGCCATGTTGACCAAGCTGATATTTAACTTCAGGCCTCAAGTGATCACTCAAGTGATCCACCTGTCTCAGCCTCCCAAAGTGCTGGGATTACAGGCATAAGCCACTGTGCCCGGCCATCATGGGTATTTTAATAGGGATTGCACTACATCTGTAGATTTCTTTGGATGGTGTACACATTTTAACAATATTGATTCTTCCAATCCATGAACATGGAATATGTTTCCATATTTTTGTGTTCTCTTCAGTTTCTTTCATCAGATTTTTATACTTTTTACTGTAGAAACCTTTCACTTCTTTGGTTAATTGCTAAGTATTTTACTTTATGTGTAGCTATTGTAAGTGGGATTATGTTTCTGATTTTTTAAACTTTTTGCTTTTGGCATATAGAAATGCTACTGATTTTGTATGTTAATTTTGAATTCTGCAACTTTACCGACTATCAGTTCAAATAGTTTTAGCTGGAGTCTTCTGGTTTTTCCAAATATAAAATCATATCATCTGAAAACAAGGATAATATTTGAATGCCCTTTATTTCTTTCTCTTGTCTGAGTCCTCTAGCTAGGACTTCCGATATTATGTTGAATAACAGCGGTACAAGTGAGCCATGTTCCAGGTCTTAGAGGAAAGGCTTTCAGTTTTTCCCCATTTAGTATGGTACTAGCTGTGGGTGTCATATATGGCTTTTATTACGTTGACATATGTTTCTTCATTCCCCAGATTTTGAGGGTTTTTATCATGAAGTGATGTTGAATTTCAATGAAGGACAAAAACCATATGGTTTTTGTCTTCATTCTGTTGATTTGATGTATCACGCTGATTGATTTCCATATGTTGAATCATCCTTGTATCCCTGGGATAGGTCCCACTTGGTCGTGATGAATGATCTTTTTAATGCATTGATGAATTTAGTTGTTTAGTATTTTGTTGAGGATTTTTGCATTACTGTTCACCAGGGATATTATCCTGCAGTTTTCTTTATTTTCTTTGATGTGTTTTTGTCTGTTGCTGGCGTAAAGAGAATACTGGTGCTGTAGAATAAGTTTGGAAGTATTCCTTTCTCTTTTATTTTTTGAGAATAGTTTGAGTAGGATTGATATTAGTTCTTTTTTAAACGTTCAGTAGAATTCAGCATTGAGGCCATTAGGTCCCAGGCTTTCATTTGCTGGGAGACTTTTTTTTTTTCCAAGATGGAGTCTCACTCTGTTGCCCAGGCTGGAGTGCAATGGCACAATCTCTGTCACTATAACCTCTGCCTCCTGGGTTCAAGCAATTCTCCTGTCTCAGCTTCCCAAGTAGCTGACATTACAGGTACATGTGAAATCAGACATGATTCTCTGAACCAAAATGATTCTAAAGCCAAAGTATTTTTCCTTCCTTCAGGAAAACTTAATTATTTAATACATAACCACAAAATGAGGCAATAATACTAAACTTCATCAGACGAAGCAATCAAGGATATTAAACTTTTACTCTTCAGTAAGAAAAGAATATGCAATTCAGGCAGAAAGACTATGCAATAGGGAGTAAGCAAATAATTGGTCCAAGAAAAATAGCCCCAAGTGAAAGATAAACAAACAGAAAGAAACCAGACGGGTTATACCAAAATCTATTGCAAGAAAAAAAGAAGCAAACAAGCTTGACTTTTTAAAAAGAGTTGCAGGGGGCAGGGGGCAGCTGAAAAATAGATGCCTAAAAAATCATTCCACAAACCAGATGACATCACAAATATTTCTCCTAAATCAAAGAAATCATTAAAAAGTAGAACTTCCATTAAATGAGAAATCAATGAAATGCTACAGTAGCTTAAATATAGATGTAGGGCACAATTATGTCAGGAATCCTCTCTACTATCAGGAGGCCAGAACAAGAAAGGAGAGGAAAATGTATGCCCTTCTTTTGTGATGCTTCAAAACCTTGACCAGAGAGTGACAGATTTTTTTGTCTTCATCCCTTTATACGCCTCCCACCTTTTTCTTCTGCCTGGTATAAAGCGCTCATTCATTATTGAACATATAATGGATAACATAAACTTGTTTGGTATGCCAAACTATGTGCTATGGACTGTGAATAAAAAAAGTGAACAAGACTAAGAACCATACCTGAACTGTAAGCTTGTATTCTAGTGCAGTAAACAAATAAATGAAGAAGTAAATACACAAATAAATCAATTTTAGAATTTGATAAGAATTATAAAGATAATAAACATCGTGATGGGATAGTAATTGGAGAAGGTGGACATGGGGGAGAGGGAGATCAGGGAAGGCTTTTCTGATTAACTTGAAATGGGACGTTAGCTGTAAAAATAGACTAGGCATGCAAAGAACAAAGGAAAATATTCCAAGGTACGATAGATATATTGAGCAAATGATTGGAGAGCAGAAGGAGTTTGCCATGTTTGAGGAACAGAAAAGATATCATTGTGAGAGTCAAGTGAGATTTTTGGTTTTTTAACATGGTGATTCTATAGGATGCTTATGTAAAGGATGGGAATTAATCACTACAGAGGTGACACATGACTGCAAAGAGAGAAGCCCCTGAGAAATAAAGAAAAGACAGTGTTTGGAGGCCAAGCATAGGAATTTGATTTTAGAAAAAGAAAACAAAGAAGCTTTTATTGCATTCTTACAGGAAGAAAGGCTGAGAATCCGTGAGATTGCGTGTAGTCTATGGGTTTGGTGTTGGAAATAAAACATGAGGACATTTCCCTCTGATGTTTTCTTGTTAGTCTCATTTTTGGAACACAGAACTGAGGCAGAGGACATGCTTTTGATGTTTCTATTTCTCTTGGCCAGCAGGGAAATGAAGGCAGTGTTGGCCAAGGTCCCAGCATCCAATCACTAGCTTTTTAGTGTAAAGAGGCAGAGAACAGCACGCTCATTTTTGCTGGTGCAAATCATAGCTGTTGAAT